CGGCTCACGAGCCACATGCGGCTCTTTGGCCCCTTGAGTGTGGCTCTTCCACAAAATACTGACTTCTGCGATGGGCCATGAAGTTTCAATCGCACTGTACATGCACGCCCGCATGTGGTATTTTGTGAAAGAGCCACACTCAAGGGGCCAAAGAGCCGCATGTGGCTCGTGAGCCGTGGTTTGCCGACCACGGGTCTAAGGGAAGAGCAACAGGGTGCCTTGCTCCACAGTGGGTAAGCCTCTCAGATCCCACAGCTAAGCAGCAGATGATTATGCACTGCAGTGCAGTCTACAGACCTTGTCACATAGAAACCCACACCTGAAACCTATTATGATCATATAAACCAACTAGTGGCCTGCTGCACAGATTCGTGCACATTTGAAAGGAAATTAATTAGAAGAAATATTTTAATATTACTATTCGCCCTATCTCTATAATAGAAGTGTCAGAGATGAAAAAAAATTAACAAAATGTATATGAAAATAATATATAAATTGATTAATAAACAATAACAAGGTATAACTAAGATATGATATAAAAACAACAAAAACATATAAAAACCATGGATAAAAACAATGACTGATAAATTGATTAAACTTATTCTAATATCTCCCTGTATACCACATTAAGAGAGTAAAAACACTTTCAGAGTGCTTGACTCATTTCCCATGTGATGAAGTATTTACAACTTTAACTTTAATATCACACGCTCTTCGAACTTGAGAGAAAACAACATATAACTGACCATGTCCGAAAATAGGTTCAGGTAGGAATATTCCTACTCTGTCTAGAGTTTGTCCTTGTGATTTAGTAATAGTCACTGCAAATGCTGGCATCATGGGAAACTGTCTTCAAATTAATTTAAATGGGAGGCGGGGGACAAATATCACGCATGCGTTTATTTTTAAATTGCCAGTGCACATTATACGTACCGGGTTGCCGGTCGGACATACGGTCACTTAGCCTTTTATATATATAGATGTCATCCCAATAAACTTAATTAGAAAAGAAAAAAAGGGACGCATTGCAGACACCACCACCACCACTGCTATGACACCACGTGGACTCCAGGTGGCGCCACAGCCCAACACTCACAGGCTTAGCTGGATCATCCCAGCAGGAGCCCTCTCAGCTCCATCCCTGCCAAGTCTATTTATATTTAAAACATAATTATAACAAGACATTGTTATAAATATCTTTTCAAAATTCATACTCATAATGTCATTCTAACACTGCTGTAGAAGCTTGTTCTATCAGTGTGCTTACGGACTTAGCGTCTTAGCATGTGTGGCTGCAGCACTTAAATAGCTACACCCTCACTCACAACCATCCCAGGAGCTAGACTGGTAAGAATGGAGAGCACTCGGCTCAGCTCCAGGCGGGTGCACAGGCTCTGGCAGAAGCTCTACACCTGCCACTCCTCAGGGACTTCCACAGGACATAGGGGACCCCGCCTTGTACTTTATTTTAAGGGTAAGTGATATAACCTAGAAAACTTCTTGTTTTCCTCTCTTTTTCTCATTAAACAATTCAACATTGTTTTTGCTCCACTTCAAGTGCCCTCATTCAAACTTTATTATTTATAATACAATGACCTCTAATCCTTCTTCAGAACAGAAAAAAAACATGGCAAATGGGAGGGAAAATAGATGATTTAAGAGATCTAGATCTCCAACATACAAAATTCAGTTTTCAGGACAGAAAGACCAGTGCAATGCAGCCACTGGCCCTTCCTCCATCAGTGCCATGGACTAAGCACTGGCCACACAGACCCCAGTCTGGAAAACGGGCAGGAGAACTACCAAGGATGCACACTCCCCACCCACAGAGAGAGCAGGCACTGGGGACACTGGGGACACTGGGCTCACCGCTGACCTGTGATTTGGTCTGAGGGTCTCCGATTGGGATGACCACATTTGTGCACCTGAAAACAATCCTCGTGTCAGCTCTGTGCCTGCAAACTATCCCGATCACTATTAACTGTCAGGAAACAACTACCCCTATGCCCTGCCCACGCCACAGAAATCCACTCCTGAGAACAGAGGCCAAAGTTCTTGTCATTCACTTGTCTGGTTCACTTGTCATTACTACATACACATAAAACTAACCCTAACATCTCTCTCGGAACCCAAAAGTGAGGGGCGGTGGAAAGGTGTTTAGAAAGGTATTTGTTACTCTTCACTTTTAGGAATTCTCAATAGTACAGGGAGATTCCAAACACATCAAGAATGAATTACTTGTATCAACTCTAGCCTGAAATGTTTCCCATTCACTCCTGGAGCAGAGAGCACTGTGTTACTCAGAAACCTTCCCACCAGGCAGTGTGTCAGTGCTCTGTCTCAGGCAGGCCGCCTGGGGCCTGGAGCGAAAGCACTGTTCCACCTGGCAGGAAGGGCAGGAGCGAAAGCGCTGCTCGAGGAAACCAGGTGAGCTGCCTCCTTGCTGGTTTACCGACAGGGTCTAGAAGCTGCAGAGACGGGGTCCTGTGGAAAACCTGGTCTACAGCGGACTGGAGACCCACCATTTGCTGCCAGCCCCATGGGGACCCTTAACCCCTAGAGTGCCAGGGAGCGCGATCGCGCTCCTCCTGTCTTTCGCCAAAAGTGCCGGGAGCGCTATCAAAGCTTTGAAATGGCGTCCAGTTCTAAGTCTGCTTTTATTAGTGATGATGATATTGCTAAATATGTCAATGTAATAAAGGTTTCCTTAAGTTTTTGAATATGTAACTTCATTTACTTGCGATTCATAATTTTTTTCCTAAACTGCTGTAAAATCAGCAAAAATGCCTTGGCAATTTTAGCATAGTTCCTAGGATATTGGTTGGCACTCAAAGGGCTAAGCACTCAGAATTAGCCAGTTTTAAGAGACCAAAATACAGTCCACATTATTTCCTATTTGTAAAATCTCACCCAAGTCCTACAGCTGTTAATGTGAGAGGCTATTTCTGGAAATTAAGGTCAAGAAGGCTACTTTAAAATTTTTTAATTATTACAAATAAAACGTTTGTGACAGGGGAAAAAACTAAGTATACGTGTGCATATGTGAACTTTAGGATAATCTGAGGATTTCAAAGTATCATCTGTTCAGTTGGAATAGTTATTCCATAAGTTTATATGTAAGCATGTGAAAATTCCCAACTAATCGAACTCTGGGGCAGAAGTTCTGACCGAAAGTGTGCACAGGAGATGTAACACCTGCCTCCTCCTCCTCCTCCTCAAAAGCATTATTTTAACATGAAGTAACCAACACTTCATGATAAACCAGGAAGTGACTGAGTCATGGGCTGGACAACGGGCACAGGCGCAATGGAGCAGGTGCCCACCTGGATGGGTCCCACTGACATGAGCAGGCTCTTCAGCTGGGCGTCAGTGGTGGATGACGACAGGCCTTCGACAGACACGACGCAGGGCTGCGGCTTGCACTCCACCACCCGCAGGTTCTGCTTATTTGGCATCGGGCGCCCGCGGCCCATTGGCCCTGCTGCTCCCCGGCCTCTGCCATGCATGACGACCTGCCAACGACAGGAGGGACTGATCAATTCAAAAGCTTTTGTTTTTTGGCACAACTACTAAGATATATAAGTGAGCAAATAACTCAGAATCCGTTAAAATACACCACGAGCTATAGGATTTTCTATAGTTTTTGCTGTGCTCAGAAAAGAATTTAATATCTAAAGAGGACACCACCACCCACCAAACGTGAAAGGAAAAGACAAGAGCTGATTTGGAGCCCAGCAGGGACGAGGCGGCACCTCTGTTCCCTCCGTGCTAGGGGTGAAGCAGCAGGCTCCCGGGATCCGGAAATGCATGTCGGCCGCACACTTAGGGTTCAGGTTAGTCCTAACAGCCCCAGAGCCTGAGTTTCTCCCTCCGCCCTCCGTACTCCAGGCCAACTCTGCAGGGATGGTCAACCCACTGCCACCACACAGGCACCACAAGCCACCACCTCACAGATCTAGCTCACGTGGTTAAGTACGCACGTGCACTGGCACCCTGAGAACTGAAAGGCCACTTCTGCCACAATGGTCCCCTGGGGGCTGCCCTTTACATTCACCTGCAGAGCTTTAAATCAAACCAAAAGCCCAAACCAAGGACAGAGGGCCTCTACCCTCACCTCCAAAATTATGACATCACTGGTCTAAGGTGGGGCCCAGACCTCAGAGTTTCTAAAGCTGTCCAGGGTTCAAAACACTGTTCTGGGACCTTTAAAGAAAGAGGACAGAGCTGATCTTTCTGGTCTGTTCTAACTAGGAAACAAGACAGAGCACCGGTGCCAAGTGTTTCCTTGAAAACTGAACTCATCCAGCACAGGACATGCGTGAAAAGCAGCCACAGAGTGGGTGGGACTAGCAGCACCAGACTTCCCAGGCTTCCTACCCAGACTTGGCTCCAGAATTGTGGGTAGAAAGGAGAGCATGCCAACTGGCCATCTCCAGGGCACAGCTGAGGGTAGCAGGAAACCACTGCACCCTGGGTAGTGGGTGCTGTCCCAAAGCTGAATCATTAAAAAGTCCTGACAGGAAGCATGCAGGCACTCCTCCCCCTCAGACCATTCCAGCTTCACACTCGCAGCACTGGTGAGGACACAGCCGTACCTTCTTGGCGGGGTGAATCCCTTGGATGCTCTTGATGCCCGGAGGGCCTGCTGAGTACACATGGGTCCCGACTGGCAGGTGCTGGGGCTGCTGAAGGGCCCCCTTGGTCAGCGTCACCTTGCGGGCAGGCTGCTGTCTCACTTCTGGAGGCTGGGGAGGCCGCTGGGGCTGGCCGTCCGGGTGAAAAAAGCCATCGCTCTCTCCTCCCTGCTGAAAGGAACAAGGCAGCATACTGGTCAGTATCTGCACAGCCCGACATCCCTCCCCATCATCGGACACAAAACCACCAAATGCTAGAAAACCAAACCTGTTATTTTACTAGAGCCACTAGGACATTTTTTACTTGACAGTGTTTGGGTTTAAATAACAGTTTTGAAATGAAAAACAGTAAGATCTTGGATTAGTATACCCACTCAAGAGGTCTGTAATTAAAGGAAAAGCTGTTTAGGTCAGTAAAATATTGCTTAACTTGAAAAATACTTCATACTCAACATGCATTTCCCATCTACATGAGTATTTGTGTTAGAATCTGAGAGTTTGCATAATCAATGATTTTAACTCTTAACTCCTATTTAAACTTAAGGGAAGCAGGCCACCATGCTCCCTCCTCCCCTGGTTGTGGTCATGAATCCTGGGCCATGTCCAGCCCTTCCCTCCTCGGACACAACACTGCACACGGACTCTGGGCACAGGGCTCCTCCTGTTGAGTCACAAGTGCCATTACCAACCAGAGTCGATGACTCAAAGGAGGAACTCCTGCATTCCATAGAGCTTTATAAGTATCAGACACCTAACCTTTTTGCATTTTACTAATGTTCCCTCATTTCATGACCTAAAACACTGTTCATCAGTGAAGAAGTAAGCACACACTCAAGCTACACTGATAGTCATAACTCCACCAGGTAGCAAAGCCCCTGGCTGTGCCAATCGGCCACTTTTAGTGTGAAGTGTAGCATCTTCCCAGCAGGGAGCTGGTGACCAGGACGGAAAAGTGGATACAAGAAAGACAGACCTGGACCTGCTAAATTATGTCATCTTAACTGAAATGGATGCTTGAAGGTGAAAGTAGATTCAGACTTGTATGAGCACTACACTCTGCTCCGACATAAACAGAAACATACCGGTCAATGGCTAGTTAACCTTCCCCAATGCAGACTGGTCAGTTATGGAGTATTTCCAAGAGGAGCTTGGCAAATTAGCCCAGAAGCAGCCCGTATATTTTTCTGTCTCTTTTCCCTCTAAATGTATCTTTTGAAAACAGTTTAATGAAACAAAGGGAAGGAACAGGGGCTGGAGCAAGCCAAGAATAGGTAAAAAAAAAATGTTTGCAATAACTGCCCAAATGGGACCTAAGGAAAAATGAGATTAAAAAGTCACACAGTCTTCTGGCTATGGAAGCATGGAGAGAGCAACAAAGCCTCCCCACCCCCAACTCGAAGCATATAACTGGGCAAAACAAGCATTCCAGGACTCGGAAGTGGAGGAGCAAGAGCAGTGGATACAGGGCTGTGGGATAGGAAATCCCAGAAGGCTGATTGAAATGTCAAGCAGCACCATCAGCGAAGTCGGTGGAGGAGATAGGAAACACCCACAGATCTGATGGCCGCTGATCTTGGTCCTGTTTGCAATAGTCAGTCAGCCGGAAATCTGAGAAACTGAGGAAATTCTGGCCATGAAAGAGCTACTGAAGGCGTACGTAGGTCCTCCCCATGCAGCTGACAGAGCCTCAGGCAGCTAGCAGGAAGAGCCTGAGTGGGCTGCAAGTGCCCACTCTGACCACACAGATTACCTGCAAAGGGCCCCAGGAACCTGGACACAATCTCTTCCTGACCTAATGACTGACCACTGAGCTATGCAATAGGGCCAACCCCTAGGAAACCAGGCTAATAAGAATAAAAAATAGACAAAAACTATTTTGAACTGAATAAAAATAAAAATACAACATCTCAAAATCTAGTGGATGTAACCGGCCAGCATGGCTCAGTGGTTGAGCGTCGACCCATGAACCAGGAGGTCATAGTTCAATTTCTAGTCAGGGCACATGCCTGGGTTGCAGGCTCAATCCCCAATAGGGGTTGTGCAGGAGGCAGCCAATCAATGATTCTCTTTCATGACTGATGTTTCTTTCTCTCCCTCTCCCTTCCTCTCTAAAATATATGTGTGTATGTGTGTGTGTGTGTGTGTGTGTATTTATGTATGTATATAAAGAGCCAGGGTCTGTAACGTCCAAAACGACCGAATGTACAACCGAACACTGGAAGTCAGTCCTGGGTCGTGCTAAGGGGGCTGCAGATCAGGACCAGAGAGAGGCCTGGAGAGAGAAGCAGGGTCTGATCCACAGCCTCTGTGGCAGCTGTTGATCAGCCCTTGCCTCTCTTTCTCTCCGAGCCTTGCCAGCAGCCGCGGGGGCTGCTGATCAGCCCCGCTTCTCTGATCAGGCCCAGAGATAGGCCTGGAGACGCTGACTGGCATAGAAATTGACCAATCAGAACCAAATCTGGGTGAACTGCGAAAAGCCAATGGCTGCCTAGGAGGTGGAGCTTTTGACGCTGACTGGCATAGAAATCGACCAATCAGAACCTAATCTGGGTGAACTGCAAAGGCAGAACCTAAGGTGGGGGCTGAGGAGGGGTTTTAAGGGCAACAGCTGTTTGGTGTAAGGTGTAAGAAAGTGGCTCAATTTTTTAATGACTAGTTTGGCAGTATAGTGCATATGGCTGGTTATCAGTCCAGATATAGGGATTATGTATTTTTGTCTGCCAAGAGCATCTCCTCCTGCTGAAAAAGGCTTTTCCTCCCTGTTTAAGCAATCCTATCCTATATAATCTATACCAGCCGTGGGCAAACTACGGCCCGCGGGCCGGATCTGGCCCGTTTGAAATGAATAAAACTAAAAAAAAAAAAAAGACCGTACCCTTTTATGTAATGAGGTTTACTTTGAATTTATATTAGTTCACACAAACACTCCATCCATGCTTTTGTTCCAGCCCTCTGGTCCAGTTTAAGAACCCATTGTGGCCCTCGAGTCAAAAAGTTTGCCCACCCCTGATCTACACAATAAAAGGGCAATATGCTAATTAGACCGGGTTGACTGGACATCTTCTGGACATCCAACTTCCTTCCGGACATCCAACTTCCTTCCGGACATAGCCATGGTGGTGGGGGCCGAGGCAGAGGCAATTAGGGGTGATCAGGCCAGCAGGGGAGGGCCGTTGGAGGCGAGATCAGGCCGGCAGGGGAGGGCATTTGGGGGCGAGATCAGGCCAGCAGGGGAGGGCAGTTAGGGGCAATCAAGCCGGCAGGGGAGAGCAGTTAGGGACGAGATAGGGCTGGCAGGGGAGGGCAGTTGGGGGCGATCAGGCAGGCAGAGGCAGTTAGGGGCAATCAGGCCAGCAGGGGAGAGCAGTTGGGGGCGAGGTCAGGCTGGCAGGGATCGGGCCTAAACTGGCAATTGGACATCCCAAGGGGTCCCCGATTGGAGAGGGTGCAGGCTGGGCTGATGGAACCCACCCATGCACGAATTTCGTGCACCAGGCCACTAGTGTGTGTGTGTGTGTGTGTGTATAAATAAATATAAAATCTAGGGGATGCAACTAAAACAGTTATATCAGAAAGGAAAAGATACCTATAATCAATAACTTGAACCTTTATCTGAATAAACTAGAAAAATAAAAAGAAATCAAACCCACAACAGAAGAAAGGAAATAAGATCACAGTGAAAGGCAATGACAGAGTAAACAGAAAATCAATAGAGAAAAATCAAAGTTGGATTTTTGAGATCAACAAAATTGATCACCCTTTAAGCTGACCAAGAAAAAAATAAGAGAAAACACAAATGACTAAAATCAGGAACAGAAGAGGGATTATCAGAACGGGTACTACAGACATTAAAAAGGGTGACATGAACAACTTTTTATCAACTAATTAGATAATTTCGATGAAATAAAGAAACTCCAAAAAGAGACCATTAAAAATCTGAGAAACGCCCTAGCTGGTTTGGCTCAGTTGGATACAGCATCGGCCTACGGACTGAAGGGCCCCGGGGTCCATTCCAGTGCCTGGGTTGCAGGCTCAATCCCCAGTAGGGAGTGTGCAGGAAGCAGCAGATCAATGATTCTCTCTCATCATTGATGTTTCTATCTCTCCCTCTCCCTTCCTCTCTGAAATCAATAAAAATATATATATTTTTAAAAAATCTGAGACAACCAACTCATTAAAAACTTCCCAGAAAAAAATGTCCAGGCCCCAATGAATTCAGTGATGAATTCTATCAACTATTTTTTTAAAAAAAGACCACTCTTTTAGAGAACAGAGAAGAGCCCTGCCCAGCAGGTCAGCCTGAGCACCGAAGGGTCACGGGTTCAATCCCCAGTCAAGGGCATGTACCTGGGTTGCAGATTCAATCCCCAAGCCTGGTCAGGGTGTGTCCACAGGCAACCAATTTGATGTGTCTATATGTTTCTCTCTCCCCTTCACCCATTTCCTCTCAAAAAAAAAAAAAAAATCAATGGAAAAAATATACTCAGGTGAATATTAACACAACAAAAAACAGAGAGGAAGAAAATATTTCCATTCATTCCTTGAAGCTGGTATTACTTTGATTTAAAAAAAAAAAAAAGCCAAAGACATAAAAAAAAAGGAAAGCCACAAAAGAATATACCTTGTAAACACATGAAAAAAAGCCTCACCAAAATATTAGCAAACTCATGCAGCAACAAAGAAAAAGCACCAGACACCAGAACCAAGTGAGAGCTGTCCCAGGAGTGCAGGGTTGTCTTAACATTGGAAAATCAATCAATGGAGCAGACTACATTCATGAAGGCAGGACCACAGGACCTCCGCACTGAAGCAGGAAACGCTCCCATCAGGAGCATTCAACAGACCAGGAGCAGGAGTCCTGTGGTGAGAGGCCTGGCGAGCTGAGTGCTCTTCTCCTTAGGACCATTTCCAGCACACCCACCACCTGAGGAGTGTTCGGATGCTAGTGATCCTGGGCTTTACTCCAGAACCATCTGATTTGAAGCTCTGAGGCTGGAACTCAGGCATAGCATACATGTTTGCAGTATAGTATGACCAGGAGTATACCAGGGTTTGCACCGACACTGT